TTTAAACCAAGATTGTTCGTGGCTTTAAACCAAGATTGTTCGTGGCTCTAAACCAAGATTGTTCGTGGCTTTAAAACAAGATTGTTTGTGGCTTTAAACTAAGATTGTTCATGGCTTTAAACCAAGATAGTTCGTGGCTTTAAACCAAGATAGTTCGTGGCTTTAAACCAAGATTGTTCATGGCTCTAAACCAAGATTTTTTGTGGCTTTAAAACAAGATTGTTCGTGGCTTTAAACTAAGATTGTTCATGGCTTTAAACCAAGATTATTCATGGCTTTAAACCAAGATTGTTCGTAGGAACCTGGGTTGGATGAGATTATGTTGAGGGAGGCATCCAAACACTCATTTGAGCTGAGCCTTGTCCTGTTATTTCATAATAATTCATAGCGATGGTGATTTTCCGGGCGCAGAAAATCCAGTTGTACATTCACGGATGAGCTCTTTGGGGTTTCGACACAAGTAAGTCCTCAACTTACGGTCACCATTTCCCCTGCTAAGCAAGGCGGTTGTTAAAGCGAGTCACGCCCGAAGTTTACTTTGCACGTGAATTGCAATGATTTGCTTAACAACCGTGGCAAAACCTGTTGTAAATGGGGGGCAGGTGCCACTCGGTGAACGACCCGCCTTGCTTAGTTACAGGAATTTTGAACCCAATTGTGGTCGTAAGCCGAGGCGTACGAATACCCCCTTCCCCAAACTGCCCTGCCCCTTGCCTTTCTAAGATAAACCGTCTCGAAAGCTGAGGAGCTTAACCGATTAACGGAGAGTTGGAAGGGACCCTGTAGGTCATCTAGACCAACCCCCTGCTCTGGCTTAAGAGACACGTTCGTTTTCCTCACCTCCACCCCCCAATAAGTGACCCTGAAGAATCCCACAACGTGGAATCAAGGAAGGTTCAAACTCAGCAAAGGACGTGCGTTTGCACGGCACGGAGCCCCCAAATTTGACCCGGCAATTAACACGGGGGGAGTTTTTCTCCGTGCCCCCCTTGCCCCACGTACCACCCCCTCCCACGTGGCATTAGACACCCCGTCGCCCTCAGTGCTGGCTATCTTGAGCCCATCCTTCCACAGGAAAACCATGAGGACTGGAATCTTGGGTTATTTTTAGGAGCCCAGCCTAAGAGCTTAGGTATCCGTGCACGAAGGGACCCCAAAGGGTGGGGCTGCCTTCCTAATATTTCTCCCCCCGCCCCCCCAGCTCAGCTCATAGCTGGCATCTCCCCCCCCCACCTTAACGAAGTATTTCAGGTCGGAGGGGGTGATCAAGAGGTCCGGCGTGACGGGCAGGGAGGCGTAGGGGTAGAAGTGCTCGTAATTCACCATCATGTCCTCGGGGGGCGGGTAGAGAGGATAGTAGCTGTTGAGAATTATTTAAAAAAAAAAAAGTGGGGGTGGGGGGTGGGGGAGAGAGAAGAGAGATTGAGTTATAGCCCCCCCCAAATGCTTTGCCCAACCTTTGGCTTGGCGTTCCAGGCCTCGCCCGGCAGCTGTTTCGCCTCCTCTACCCACCGAGTACCAACGCGATGCCAAGCTGGGCTTTTGCGACGGTGCGGCTGCCGCTCTCATTCCAGGATCCCCCCCCCCCCCGCCCGCCCGAGGGTCGGCATCTCAAACCTCATGGCCCAAAAAAGGCCAGTGTACCCAAGAGCGGCCAGCGGCACGTTTCTACACACACACACACACACACACACACACACACGCACACCCCAAGGGAAAGCAGCTGCGTTTCTGGGCTGGTCAACTCGAGGGTAGCTGGCATCGGAAGTTCTCTTGGGAACACGTACAGAATGCGAATGAGAGAGAGAGAGAGAGAGAGGGAGGGAGAGAGAGGGAGAGAGGGAGAGGGAGAGAAAGAGAGGAAGGGAGAGAGAGAAAGAGAGGAGAGAGAGAGGGAGGGAGAGAAAGAGAGAGGGAGAGAGAAAGAGAGAAGAAGGGAGAGAAAGAGAGAGAGGGAGAGAAAGAGAGGAAGGGAGAGAGAGGGAGGGAAAGAGGGAGGGAGAGAGAGAAAGAGAGAAGGAGAGAGAGAGAGGGAGGGAGAGAAAGAGAGAGGGAGAGAGAAAGAGAGAGGAAGAGAGAGAAAGAGGGAGAGGGAGAGAAAGAGAGAGAGAGAAAGAGAGGGAGAGAGAAAGAGAGAGA